TTCCAAATATATGTTTTTGTAGCCATTCTGGTTTTCTTTCCATGTTACCAATAATATCCTTTGTGAATGGGAAAGCTTCTACCCAACGTTTCAGTCTTGCGTCATTTATTTCTGTAGTTGGTTTTATTTTGTCAAGGAACATGTTTTTCAATACTAACATTTCATTTGGTACTGTCCATTTGAGTTTTCTTAAATATTCATCCCTTCTCGGTTCATTGTCTGCAAAGTAAGTTTTTATGACATTTTGCAAACTTTCGTTTGCAAGGTCATGTACAATAGGTTCTCTTCCTTCTCTCCCTAACTTTCTTTCTAAACTCTTCACCAAATATACCATCTCTATGGTTCTGTGTAGTTCTTTGAGATAAATGTTTTAGAACGTCAGGTGTTATATTTCCTTCAGCCATGTTCATTTCATACTGGTCCAAAATATCTGCATCTTTCATATCTTTCAACGGCATTAAAGCCGCGCTGAAAATACCAGCTAAATCTGGTTCACCATTGACTTCCATTGCGTCTACAACTTCTTGGAATTGAGGTTGTAAGTTTATGAACCACCTATCCGAATTAGCTTTATGACCCCATCTCATTGTAGTTCCATAGTCTGCAGAAACAAAAGTAGGTTTGTTTCCATCTTGGTTAGGTTCTGAATGAACTTTAAACAATGTTTCATTTCTATATGTTTTGTTGAAATTTAACCTTTTATTTTCACCGAGTTCATCCAAAGATTGAACGTTATATGGTCGTAAGTAAAAAGGGTTGTTGTATTTGCGTACATTTTCTTTCAGTACTTCCATTCTATGCTGAATATTTTCATCTGGTGTTGGAGTCTTTTGTATGTCGGCAAACATTTTTCGATATTCTTCTACTATGTCAGCCGAATTTTTTTTAGACTCTTGGAAAGATTCCATATTCTCCGCATACTCTTGTTGAGGGTCAAGATTTTTCGGCTGTTCCAAATCTTCATCTAGTTCTGTGAAGTTAGTTTCCAAAGGAGGGACTTGTTCGTTTCCTTCAGGCTCTTCTAGCTGTTGTTGCTGAACTATTTCTTCCATGTCTGGTTGTATCTGAACTTCTTCCTGTGGAGTTTCTTGTACCTCATCTGCTGGCATTTCATATATTCCGAGACCGTTTTCAACAATTTCCCTATCTACGTCATCCGCATTCATAAGCCTTTGTTCTTTCGTTCCGTCTCTATTTTTTACGCGTTTCATGACGAAAGTTGAATTGTCATTTAGCTCTGACATCAAATATCTCGGAGTAAATTCGTTCATGTCATTTGGATGATATGCTATTAAATCATATCTCTTAGCGAGCTTGTATTTTCCAGGTTTGAAATTATATCCCATTTGGTGCTGAGTCATAAAGCTAAATAGGTTCGGGTCAGTATTTCCATCCTTGAACTTTCTAATAGCTTCTTTATATCTGTCACTAAAGTCAACAGTATCTGGGAAACCACACTCTTCTTTAAGCATTTTTAAGAATTCTTGGTTTCCTTGTTCTCTACTTCTTTTATGTCCTTGCTCTGGTTGTGGAGGTGGTTGTTGTGCAGGGTTTTGAACTGTTGGTTGCTGTGCTGGTTGTGGAGGTGGTTGTTGTCCTTGCTCTGGTTGTTGTTGCTGTGCAGGGTTTTGAACTGTTGGTTGTTGTGTTGGTTTTGGTGCATGCCTGTGTCTGTGTCCATGTGACGATGTAAATGTTTTAGGTAGTCCTGGTGCAGGTGCTTCTCTTGGAGGGTTTGGTGGTATATAAGTTCCACCAGCTGGCACATATGTTCCATCTGCAGCATAATGTCCTACCTGACTTTTCGTTCTTAAGAAAGCATTTACTAGGTCTGTTTTGGTCTGTTGTAACTCTTTTTCTTGACTTTCCACAACAGTTGCTCTAACGGCGTCATAGGCACTTTGAACTGCCTGTCTAGTTGCTGCATCTGTTATTTTCGTCATATTTTGTGCTACTTCTCTTAACTCTTTGTCGAAACCTTCAGACTTCAGTTTCTTTCCAGATGAGAAATCGTTCACTAGTTTCACTTTACTATGAAGAGCTTCGAAGGCGTTCTTAAAGTCAGCATTTGTTAAAGCTTCATTTGAACTGTCTTCATCCGCTTGTATTTTTGTCCTTATTGACCCTATAAGTTGGGCTGCTTTGGCGTTGGCTTGGGCATCTAACCAGTCATTGTTAGCTTTTATATATTCTGCGCTTTTCATTGCCTTTTGCATGGCTGCGTCGTTATTTTTACTTTCTTGTGCTAAGTTTTCATACTGTACGGTTTGGTTTTGCAACTGTAAAAGTTTTTCTGCCTTTACATTTGCTTCAACTTCTTTTTTATACTCATCGCTATCCATATATGTCTTCAGGGCTTTTTGTTTTATCTCTTCATCTTTCAGTACTTTATATTGAGTAGTATGGTTTTTCAAATTTATAACATCTTGTTCCATTTTTGCTACTTCTGTTGCTTTTTCTGACACTTTCTTCGCATATTGCTCTGTACTTAGTTCTTTCAGTTGTTCTTCTTTCTTCTTTTTCTCTACGTTTAACTCATTGAGTTTCTTTGTGTGTCTGTCATATTCTAGTTTCTTTTCGTTTTCACTTATTTGTTTCTGTATGTCTATGTTTGACTTTTTGACATCTGTTATTTGATTTTTGAGTGAACTCAAATTCATTTGACTTTGAGGGTTATAGGCTGTTCCGTCTGCAGCTCCACCATAGCCTGCCATTTTCGCTAAAAGTGCCGCTCTTAAACCTCCACTCTGTGCACCAATGACTCGGTTTAAAAGCATAGGATTGCTTGACATTTGTTGCAACATAGTGGGGTCATTCAGCATTTGTTGTTGCAACTGTTGTTGTGGTGTCAGTTTTACTTTTGGATGTTTCAATGCTCCCTTCCTCTTACGTATATTCTTACGTAGCTTACGTGGCATTTTAAGTGAAGTAAAAAACGGTTTTTGACAGATGTTTGTATGACACTTTTTGTTCAGCACAAAAAACTACTCGGTCAAAGTGTACGATGAAATTCATGAAAATTCATGAAAATTCATGAAAATTCAAGAGGGTAGAAATGAGGGTAGAAAGGAGGTTAGATCTAACCTTCTACCCTAAACATTATTTTTTGGTCATTTACACTCATTACGATGAAGAAGTTTCGACAAAACATTTACGTTCATGTTTGACAAAACATTTACGTTCATGTTTGACAAAACATGAAAACATATATAATTTGTGAAAAGCGACACATTATATAATGTTTTCGACCCAGAAGACTAACAATTTTCCGAATAAAAACTTCATTTATACTAAACATCTTCAGGGCTAGAAGGCACGAAGTGCCTGGAAGCCCCACTACCTTTTTTTTTTTTTTTTTTTTTTTTTTTTTTTAATTATCTAAATAGCTAAAATTGTAAATTCAAGATATTTGACACAAATTCAATTTTGACGGTTTGAAACAGTGCGTTTATTCTTCCGTTTATTTCTAAAAGCATAGCATTTTTATTAAATATGATTCTAATAATATTTTTGGATTAAACAGATATCTGTGGTCAATTCTATTGATTTTTTTTCCACTCGGAATACATTTTTAAGATATGTAATTTGATCCCACTACTATCAAATGATTAATGCATATAAAAAAAGCAATTACATTTAAAAAAACGAACTATTGAAAAATTGACAGTTGACGGTATAGTTTCAATTTTTTGAATTGATATCGACTATTTTAAAAATGAAACTCTTTTGGAGTTTTTTATGCATCAAAAGGTATTAGTACACACATATATATAAGATCTAGTAATTCGGTTAAGCATTGAAGGTAATTCAAAGGTTTAGATTTTGATATTTGTTTTGTTTGAATACTCTACATGTATATTTAGACTTCATACAAAGTTCCAAAGGTCTATAAACATAGAAAAAATTTAGGATATGGTAATAAATTTGGTTCGTAAAATTGAAAGGAAAATTTTATCTATTCATATATTTAGAACCATCATGTTAAATATATCTATTAATGACTAATATTGCCAAAGGAGAAGGGAAAATTTTATAAAATTTTATCATATTAAGGTATAAAACTATTATTTCCTATATATTTATGAATCAAATAGTAAGATAATCACTCTTTGTTAGACTAAATTAAATGAAAAAAGTCTAAATTGTATGATCGTCTAAACTCAGTATAACCTATACCAAAGCTTATTAATGGCTTATGCAAATATACAGCTGATGTTAGCTTAGTTTTTGACCAAAATACAAAAAAAATTATGAGTACAATATGATCAAATTTTTATAAAAGCAGCCGAAAACAGCATTCAATTGGAATGGTATTATCAATGATAATCATTCAAGACACTTTTATCAAAAAATTTACATAAATCTTTTTCAAAACAGAGTATTTTTGCAAAAATTTCATCGAAAAGATAGCTTTGTCTAATAAAAATGATATGGTACGGAAAATCTATTGAAAATAATCTGAGGAATTTGAAATTCATTAAAAAGTCTTGAAAAAAGTGAATGCATTCATGAATGTCCCATATCCATTTTATCCTAGTTGTTTCATAATTCCATATTGCCGATTCCTATTCTAGTTTTTGGTGCTTTTCTATGATAACCAAATTGATTTGGTTATCATAGAAAAGAGACCATTATAATGCTTAAAATTAATTATGTTTAGGGCCGGTTTATTGGGATAAGGAAGTTTATAATACGTGAACACTTGTTTCCTCATCGAAAAGTCATAACGCATAAAGTCGATGTTTCCTTAGTACAAAAAGTGACATATGACGCTTAACTCTTTATTCCAGATAATGACCATATTTATGGGATTAAAAAGTTTAGGAAGCTTCTCCCCAATAAAACAACTTTATTCATGATAAATCAGCCCTTCCAATTTTCCTTCTCAAAAATATGAATTCAGTACATATGGTTTTTTTGTCTCTCAAAATTTCTGAATAAATAACCGAATATTCATATGTCAAATTCATGTGAAAATTGAGGATTCTAAAAGTAAACAACTAGTGGCTGTTCAGCAGCGAAACCAAGTCGCTTGGGTCCACTATCTCTTCTATCTTTTGCTCTGTTTGCTCTTCTTCTTTCTTTTCTTTCTGTATCTTCATATTTTCTTCATTTATTAACTTTACTTTGTCTATAAAATCTTTCTGCTTTAAGACCGGGCATATGATATCCCAGTTTTCCGCATACCAGCATAGCAGTGCTTGTCGATTACGCCTGGCTAAACGATCAAGCTTGATCTTATGTTTAGACATTATTATCTTGGCAAGCGATGTTAAGATTGCGATGGTAACATGGGTACCAAAATACCTGTCAATGAAGTTTGAGACGATGTATATCTTATGCCCATTTAACATTACTCTTTGCTGAACCCTTAGATAATCCCTTTCACTTTGAGGTGTTGTTCGCTTGGTATACATTTTTGGCATTTGATATGGATATGGTCCATAATTCTGAGGATAAATTAGCATTGATTAAAATGAATAAACTTCAAGTTTAAAATTTGAATATCACTAAGAAAATAGACAAAAATTTTGAATTAACCACAAAAGAAATGAATCCAAAACGATTTATTATAGCTACCCAAACAACAATTCTTCAACAAAGATATTCATTGTTTGAATGCATTTGTGCATAAATACAAATTCATAAAATTGTAAATTTTCATGGGATTCAAAAGTTATTGAAATCATAAAATCGGAACCCCATTACTGATTCATGCATGCTTGTGTTAAGCTCCAATATGAATGCGAAAATATTTATTCCCTTCAAACAACATTTTCATTATTATTTCTAGGAAAAATAGAAGAGATATTTAAGTACAGTAACAATGTCATTAATTGTTTTTCAGAAGATTCTAAATAATGCATTTCAATTTTTTTGAATCATTTATCTGCATCTAGCCAAGCGAATTATTCGAACAATGCTATCATCTTTAACAATTCGCATGTAACACAAATTTTGAGAACAAAATAAAAAAATGTATGAAAATATAAATATCATATACAGTACGATTAATATTCTTCGTAATATTAAGCTTTAAAAAGATATTCCTATCTAAACGCTGAATTTCAATTTAAGATATTCACAAAAAATAACTTCCATTTAAGATTTCAGAAATTAGTAGTTCTTTAGATAGTTTACATAGCAACCATCACAATAAATACAATCAAAATCCAATGTTCTCGCTTTGAAATGAACAAATAAAATACTCGGACAAATATGTTTAATTTTTTGTTTCTTTTCCTATTATTTTGTATTTGGTCATATTTAAAATTACTATTAAATAATAGAAGTAGATTCCTAAGCAATGAGAGACATCAAATTGACTGAATTATTATGTCGAATTTAGTTTTGCAAATAATAGTCATTTTTAAGCTAGTAATAGGCTTTGTTGAACGTGTAAATCCATGATTTTGAAAATATTTTGGTTATAAACATCAGAAATTAAAACCTGAAATAATCTCATTAAATATCGAAATAATCTAGGATATGATTTTATATCAGAGAGCTAAATAATTTGTGAAGCAATGTACATCATTTCTGGTATCAAAGAATAGAAAAATCAATGGAAATTTAAGTGAAATTCTAAGTATTCAACAATTTCATATGTGTTTTATATATACACTATTGGAACATGAACTAAATATATGAAATTTATAATGACCATCATATGTAAACACTTTTTTTTGTTAAAATTTATCATGTTTCTATTATTCGTCATTAATATAATGATTTATCATAAAAACAATGCAAAAATATGAGAAGATGCATTTATTACCAATTAGGCAATTTGATTTAGAATGTTTGACAAATAACCTGTAATTGTCATCATTTTCCATATCAATTTAATATTCAAATAATAATGTTAATTGATATTAAAAAACTATCATTAAATCCTTTAAATTTCAATAGTTGGTCTCATCAGATTTGTCTTTGGCAAGAATTCTTTTATTATGCTAAGATTATTGCATTAAATAAGGATGTCAATTCGAAAAATTGTTTTCATTTTAGGAGAATATAATTTTCCTTTTCGAAAATTTAAAAAGTGAGACGCGCAGGATTCGAACTTTTTTAAAAGTTGATTTAAATATATTCTAATGTGGATTCTAAGGATAATATCATATTTAAAATAAGAATATACTAGTTTAGGTGGTATAATTTTTTTAGATAAATTTGAGAGCATGTACGTTTAGGGCATCAAAAGTGTCAATTCGCTTAGCGAAAGCTGAGCTAGCTTCGTTCTCGAAAAAATAGGGAAGGAGTGAAAGAGAGTGATACAGATGTTGACACATTCATATCATTTCAACAAATTTTGATCAAATTGAAATTCAATGAAATTCAATTCACTTCATATCCTTCAGTCAGTACATTGACATCCTTCTACATCACAATGATAACTCGTGCATCAATAGTTCTACAACTAACTCAGAAAAAAAAAGATTTTTACTTCCAGCTTACAGCTTTTAAAAAGTTTCGATGATAAAAATCACTCTACTCTTGTTTATCGATATGTTGTGATAGTAGGTAAACGTATTCTTATCGATATTAATAAAAATATTTTTACGAAAATCTGAACCAATTACAGAGTTATTCATAAAGTTTATGATAACTGTAATTACTTTATCTTTGTTTAATATTTGCATAAACAATTTAATTTAATTTGCATAATTTTTTTAGTTGAAAGACAGGAAACTTAGTTGAGTTTGTATTATTTTTATCGTTCAATTCATTGTATCAGTGAGTGATCCAGATATTTAAGATATTTAGAAAAAATTTATTAATTTGATTAACAAATTTTAATCAAAATAGCAAAAATCTATTTGATAGCTGTAAGCAAACAATAATTTTTATTTCAAGCAAAATCAATTATTTTCATCTAAACGTATAAAATTGTCAATTTTATGAGAATAAATTTAAAATCTCATGAAATATAAAGGAGAGTAATATTTTTCAATTTTCTTTTTTTCTTTGTCTCAAATATTTTCTGTTGGGAATTTTCTTGTTATCAAAAAATAATTTTAATATTTGTTTATTTCATTACATACAATAAAATTTTAAAAACTCTATTTCTTCTCAAGAAAATTTTTTTCCTTCATATGAAGAAACATTTTGTTCTCCATTTGATACTGAGTCTAAATCTCGATTTTTGAATTTTCTTCTTTCCAAATTTCTTTTTTCCAAATTAGAAGTTTAATTCAAATTTTCAATAGTTTATATATTTTCTCAAACCGTCTTAGATTTTCTCACTTTTTAGGGATTTTCTCTCAAAATATACAAAAATAGTAATACCAATACATGTGTCTAATATACTTTAAAACCATCGTGATAAAATTCAAAAACGAAGAGTTCTTCTCTCCAAATTTTTTTCAAAATCAAAAAAATGCGATAAAAAAATACGTTTGGAAAATTCATTTTTAGCATTTTAGGAATTTTCTCACTTTTCTTCCCAATTGACATTTATTACCTTACAAAATTTTCAATCGTTCTCTGAATTCTATAATTTATGTATTAAACGTAAATCTCTAATTTTAAAAATTAATGTCATCTCATTGGACAAAAACTATTATCTTTTATAGGCTAACAGTTTCATCATAATATTTTGAATTCATTCAATTTTTGAATAAATATATTCAATTTAACATGTATTAAAGAATATTTTATTGGATTACATATAAAAAAGGACAAGTTTAATGATAGTTAAGCAGGAAGCTTAAGTCACTTGGATCAATGTAACTACCTTGAAGATTTGGAATAGTTGGAAACTCCTGTGGTCTGAATGTTGAATTTAGTTGACAAAATATTTTCATTAGATTTGATCTAAAATCTTTGTCTTTGAGAATTGGATAAACGAACCCCCAGTTCCTTGCAAACCAACATAGAAGAGCAATGCGATTACGTCTTTCTAATCTATCTAGAGTTAGATTATATTTTTCCATTGTTATCTTTGCAAGAGTTGTTAGAATAGCAATAGTTACATGAGTTCCAAAATATCTATCGATATATGATGAAACAAAATCGATTTTCTCGGCATGCATCTTTACGCGGTGCTGGATTCTTTTATAGTCTCTAATAGTCTGTGATGACTTCTCCTTTTTGGGTTTAGGCGCCAGCATTTGATTACACGTAATACAATTCCAATTCTGTTCAAACATTTTAATAAATACTAACTTATTTCTTTTCAAATATTTTTGAAATGTTAACAAATTTCTTGAATTACTTTATCTCCAAAAGACGAAACCCAGCATTTCTAACTCATAAATTTATTAAATATTTCAAGATTCAATATACAATGAATTTTAATTGAATATTAGACATTCAAATCTTAGTTCTCACCAAAAGTTGAACCTTTGCTTTTGGAACTTCTTTTCCTTCTAATACATCATTATCATAGATTATCTGCTGTAAGTTGGGTTTTACACAGGCCTCAAATTAATTGGTCCGGTGTATCAAATAATTTTCAATTAAGTCCTTTTGCTAAACCTATCTTAATTGATGCAATGTGTCCAAAATAATCTCTTTGCAAATTTGTGAATGAAATTTTATCGGTAAATATCAGTAAAGGAATTTAGAGATTACAAAGTGGACTCATAAAATCCCTTCATCATATATTTTAAATTCAAAGTATTTTGAATGCATTAATCATGGAATACGTATTGATTTTAATCTTTCTATATAAGTTTGAAGAGTGAAATATTGTTTTTGATATTTTCAACATTTTTTATTGAATTTCATTAAATTTTATGACAGAAAACTATAATATATCCAATATAAATTTTCATATCTTAAGAATACACCTCAATTACAAATTTTTTTTTTCAATATTGATATATTTTTTTGAATATGAATTTTCATAGAAATTAATCCATACCTATAATGTTTTTGACTCAAATTAAACGTTCATATGATTTGGTTATAATAATTTGCAATATTAATTGTATCGGTATTCAAATTTATTGATTAAAATATCAAAACAGCTTCTCATATGGGTACTTATTGTTTTGTATTTTTTCAATTCAAGGGTTATCTTTAGTAAAAAGATAAAATCATTTTTTTTTCCTTTTAGTTTCTAAAGTTCATCAAGCAGAATTAAATAAAACTAATAAAATATGATTGCATGGCTTAAATTTTTATATCAAAATTGAAAATATAATTTCGTTTAGATTATATTGGAGGAAATATAATTAAAAATAAGCTATTGTTACAATAAATACAAAGTTTAGTTGAATAGTAACACATTTTCCTCATGATGACTATCTTCTCAAATTTTCAATCGAATTTAAACAAAATGTATTACGGGTACATTAATTATATTCAATACTTCATAAATTATTACAATTAATTCTATTTTGTGATCTAAAAATCTTAATTCAATTCGATCGAATGAGATCTTACTAACATTTGAGTTATCGAAGATAATTTTCTAATCGGTAACAAATAGAACCAAAAAGAGTTTTACTTAACGATCAAATACAAACAAATTTTATTATAACAGAATTAAAAAAACAATTAATGAGATTCACTCCATGATTTTTCCGAATTCCACTGGATAGGAGATGCAGAAGTGGATTTTATTGGGCCGCCAGAGCTTGAATGGTTTCGAGTCTGAACAGAATTTGGCTTTGGATTGAAGACACCTTCCATAATTTTCTTTGTTGACTGGATATGGAAGAATCTTGGAATGTTTCAATATGTTTCATTACGGAATCTTTGTATTCTGGAATTATTGAAGCTGATCGTTCAAGGTTTTGAATAACTATCGAAGAGATAAGTTGGGATATTTTGAACTTTTGCAATGAGGTAGTGGAATTTTGCAGGAAGAATTCGAATAAACTACTAATTAATTTTGCATAATCCTTCTCTCTAAGCTTTTTAACTGATTTCTGTGTCTGAGATAAGAACTTGTATGTCCATGTTGTACTTGGGAGAAGACTCTCCTGGAAGATGAGCTTTGCGAGATCTGTAGTCATTGAAAAATAATGAAGTTCTGTTTTTCTGAGAATACTTTGAATATGGGATTCATTTCAAAAAAATTATGAAAATGACTAAAATGATATTATTATACTATTTTAAAATGTTGAAAAATATCGTTTGAAAAAATTAGAAAGAAATGATTGTGAGACTCTCATTGAATTTAAATGGACATACTAAAATGTAGAAAATTTTGTGAGAGATTGTTTTGCATTAATTTAGCATGTTACTGATATACATTAGGATACAATTTTCGTATGAGCAAGAAAAAATATTGAATAAAGAATTCAAATTTTGAAGTTATTAAGGGTGCACCCGTATGTACGTTTATTTGAGAGGAGGAGGATTACCCTCTCAATTTTGAGGGATTCGTTAGTTTATTTTCTCGATGAATATGCAATAAAATTTGATTTTTACCTTATCAATATACTTCATATAATATACACATGTTCATGTAAAAACTTTTTTCCAAAATCCTCAGGAATTAAGGGATTTTTGAATTTTAAGAATTTTTTTCGAATTTTTTCGAAAAAAAAATATTTTCAGAACAGCCTTAACGGCTAAGATTTAGGAACAATGTTAAGTATCAAAAAGAAAGGAGGTCTGATATAGACAACATATATCGTTGAAGGTTGATAAAATCTCTGATATTTGAGCCCAAAATTTCAAATTTTAATTTTTTGAAAAAAGAGGCCACCCGTATGTACGTTTATTTGAGAGGAGGAGGATTATATTTTTGAAAGGGTGAAACATTATGAATATGTTAATTATATAATAATATGTATTATTATAAAAAAGAAAAAATAAAGCACGTTAAATTTTTTCTTTCTTGATTTTTTACAAAATCTACTTAGAATTATGCAAAGTATGACTAAATAATTATAAATTTCAAGTTAAATTTTAATTTTGATAAATAATTTAAATTTCAAAATATCAAGTTCAGTTCGACTATGTATGTAGTAATTCCTCAATAAAGTGCCAAAACCCTATTAAAATATATGAAAATTTTCAACATTTTAATGTTTTTATTTAAAAATTTGATGGAATATGAGCTTCAAACAATTATTATGTAAATAAAAATAATTAAATATATGTATTTATTCGTATTACAACCGTAGTAAGTCGATTCTTCCTTTCTTCTACTGAGATTTGAACTTGATTTCGAATTGTAAAGAGATTCAAAGGGAAAATACTAGCGGATAAAAACTACCTCCATGAAAGGGTCAGAATGGAGTCAAGTTGTATTTTTTGATATTTTTTGCTTTTCGAGCCTAAATAGGTAGCCAAGATAATGCCTAAAAATAAGGTTCTAAATTCTGAAGTTTACATGATCCTCTCGTGTGCACCCTTAATATATTACATGAACAAATAAGAAAATATAATTGCATGCCTCAAAAATATATTGAATAAATTATTTGATTTTTCTTACATTGAATTTAATAACGAGATATAATATTCGAAATCATATGTGGAATTAAAATTTTCATTTTTAAATTTTTTTGAGAATTTGAAAATTTTTTAATAAATCACTTTAGTACTCGTAACAGAATATTTCCTACTTTAAAAAAGATTTTTGTGATAAAAATTGAATTACTTTCATCGACTAGAATTCATATTTGTATGGTAATATATACAATATCAAATCTTGTCTTAGAAAAAAAGATAACATGTTAAGAAAATTGAGATAGTTTATTGAAATTTGTAATCATAACGTTAGTATAGAAAAATTGAATTAGAACATTGAAATTAATTCTTTAGTGATAAGGAAAATTTAATATTTTAGTAAAATTATCAGACTTATGATGTTCTCCGGAGACAATTATTTTCATATTTCTCAAATTCTACAGCGTTTTTCTCACAAAATTAAATATAAAAAAATTTTCCCTAAGGAAATATGATTGTGCGTTGTCTATAACATACGAAATCATAAATTTTATTTTATTTCGGATATTGATAATTTCATCAAAGTAAAACATTAATTTTTTTATATGTGGTATATTGATCCAATCAAATAAAGACAATTATTGCAAATATACATATTTACATTCTTTTTTATAATGCTTTTTGTATTTCAACATTCGAAATTTGTTATATAAAACGTGTTTGGCAATTAATATACTATATATTCCAATAAATATATTAAATGTAAGTTTGTGGAATATAGATTATCTATATTTTGTGAAATTTATTTGCAATTTACAAATAACATTCATTTCTTATTTGCCATTAAGTACTCACTGAAGAAAAATGTTCTCTTCAATAACTGTCAAGATATTATGGAAAGAATATATTTCTTTATCATGTTTTATAGGATAACATATACGTTCACAGCTAAATGAACTGATATCAAAAAGTAAAAGACACTTCAATTCATAATAATCTTTATTCAAAACAAAATAACAAAATAAAAAATTAAATTTCATGGTTAATATTGCTTAGCAAGGCAATTCAAAGTCTCTATATACGTAGCAATGAAAGATGCTTGAGGAGATCCCAAACTCTGATTGGCGAAATCGTAAATATAAGAAAGAAGGTTTTCTCGAGAACTTAAAGCAGCAGTTGAGAAAGCAGCAGCGAATATTGGGAAAATTTGGTCAAATTCTGCGTCACTTTTGTTGATAAGCTTTGGAATCATTGAACAAGCATCCCAAAGTATGTTTATCATGTTTCGTGGGCTGATTTCGAATCCAAGCTCTTCGATTTTCTGAACAACAGGATAATATTTCCAACTTTCTGTGATATTTTTGATTTGTGTTTTATCTGTTTCTCCAACAATGAAATCTGCAATGGTAGTCTCTCGAAGCTTATCTAAATTAGTGAATTTGGTGGTCGTAAATGGGTATTCTTTCTGTTGCCAAGCAAAAGAAATCAATTCATCAAAGAGTAGACAATATTCTTGTGATGATTGCGAAGAATTTCTGCAAAAACTGATGATATCATTAAAACTTAGCTCATTGACATCAGAGCTTAAGTAAAATTGAATAATTTGAGAATAAATTGTGTTTTCTTCAGAGATTTTTTGTTTGAAGTCAGCAATCTTGGCGTCAATTGCTTTGATCTCTGACGATGTTGTATTGTTTTGGTGTTCGGTAATGAGTTCGCCAAAATTAAATGAGACCAACGAATCAGAACAATCAGGAAGCGAATGCAATACGTCGAGAATTACGGATAGTCGTTGAATGATGTATTCAATTTGGTCTAATTTGGCTCTGGCACGTGTTATTTTCTGTAAATGAGATTCTTTGACCAAAAACTTATAGATATGGGTATCAAAACAGTCAATTAACAAAATATTCGAGTTTATCTCGAAAAATGTCAGTGCACACATGTTAATGATTTTTTGGGTTAATTTGGCTTTGTATTTGTTGATTTGATCTAAGCATTCAATTACCAAGTTTCCGACTACATGCCTATATTTCTTTTCTTTGGCAATAACCTTTTTCTTCGTATAAGGCGTGATGTTGTTTTTAATCTTAGATAGCGTGATTAAGTTAAATTGAGTTGAGATAAAGTTGTTATATGCTATTGCTGATGTTTCACCACGTGCGTCCATGTTACTGATTTTTAAATTGAGAAGTTGGTTGTATGAAGGAACGTGGTTCAGCAGTTTCATATTATGATTGATTGTAAAGCTCTGAATATAAACAACCAATAAATTTTACGGAATATTGATAGACGCATATGAGAGAATAATGGATGATTCACCGTGCTTTGGCTTGAATTTGTATTGAGAGCGATAAATTTTTATTTACTTAAATCAATAGTTATAAGAATATAGAGGATAGTAAAATTCATTAAAAATTGATAATAATTACGCATTCGAAAATTTTATATTGAAAAGATAAATTTTTATTATTGCCTCTATATTTTATTAAAGTACATCATATAGAATTGATTTATGCACAGCCAAAATTACATTGAAAAGTTGATATAAATTTAATTGATAAAATAATGATAATGTACAATTAAAAAGATACAATATTTAACTTGAATTTTCTTTTGAGTATCAATTGAATTTAAAAGCAATTCAATTTTACTTATCCTCCAAAAATTTTCATAAACCTATTATTATATCATTTATTGATGATATAGTCATATGCTATATTATGTTGTTAAGTATAATGCATAGAACTTAATGTAATTTCAATCTATAGGCAAAAATGTTAATATCAAACTGGAATGTGAAAAATCAATCACATTCCATAAATTCTTATATTTGTAAGTTGAAACAATACTTTTTCTCGAAAGAATTTATATTTTTAAAAATCATATTGAAGTTAGAAGAAGTATTTTTGTGAGCACATAGTTTAACATTGGCTATTTATTATTCATGGTATTTTTAATGCTGATAAATTAATAAGGCATATATTTGGTATCAAAAACGGTAAATGTAATAATATTTTGGAATTTTTAATAATCATGCATTTATTTATTTCATTATTCATAATTCGTTACGTTGATTTTTATTTTTGTTATATGACAATAATCGGTTGGCCTTGTAGCATCTGATATTTGAAATTTTATTTGTTTATTTTGAGGATTATTATTTGGAGTAATTATTTATCAGAATGCAGCTATCAGAAGAAAACTTCTTTTTACCATCAAATCTTCAATAATTTTCATGTTATCTCTATATTGGCATTAAGATTTTCTTTTCTCATGAATCAAGCTTCAAAATGAGAGCAACAATCAAAATAACAAGCTCATTTTTTTTTATTTTTATTTTATTTCAAGACTAGTGAGATTAGTTAACACCAAACAGATTTAATATTATTGAAAATGATTCGCATTGTTTTAAAACTGTTTTTATGAATTATTTATGAAATGTGGAATAAAATACTCATAAACAAGGAAAGTTTGAGATTATTTAGTATAAGGAAAAATAAGAACATAATTATGTCAAAAAACAAACACGTTAGTAAGTTCTTTATGTGGGATAAAACTTCTAAATGTTAGATATACATAAAATTTGTACTTCGCGATAAAACCTGTTCAACAAAACATTTGAACGTACTAGATATGTTTATGAATATTATCCAAATGTCTTAATGGTGCACTTACACCGCTATGACGCGACCTTCAATCCAGATATTTAAGGCTAATTTTCAATGTCGCTGCACGCCAGTTGTCAAAAATTTGAATTAAAGTCAGATGGGCGTAAGTGCAGCCTAAAAAAAATTGAATTGTTTAATTATGAATAGCTGACAAGTGATATACTATTGAGAATTTGATCTTCAAATCTCACATCAACATCGCAAAATTTTACTGAATAACGAGTGGTATTCATACTTTTTATATAATCACGAGAAATGCTTAACTTATTGCAGATATCCGTAACATCTTTAGCTTTCATTTTCAGGAAAAACTTTGACCCCGTTGTTCTGTTTATAAAAACAATATCACTAAATCCACGAAGATCTGAAGGCTTTTCTTGAATAATATAATGTTTTGACGTAGAAATTTCAGACACTTGTTCAATTATATCCTTAGATAAATGAAGTATTATAATATTCTTCCAGCCCCATTTTTTAGAAGCAAATTCTTTCAGATCTGTTGCATTGTTAATTCTATCTTGATCTGCAGGGTCAATAGCTTTAAAATATGATATATCCTTGTCCACGAATATATATTTTGAATCTCTGAACGAATTAAGACGCTTTGGTCTGATTGTTTGGTTAACTTTATCAGAACCACTTGCTTTTTCTTTAGCCATGTTTATTAGAGAATATCCCATCGTTTTGATCTGATTTTTATTCTCATATTTGATAATGAAAAGATCATTTTTATAATTAGGTTTTTCAGTGAATTCATTATTCTGAATCATAATCTTATCTTCATATACGAGCGATTCATTTACATTTTTAATAACTTCTTGCATTTTGTCAATCGGACTTTTTATATCTAAAACAAGAACATTGTCTATTAAGTCGTAGACATAAACAAATAATTCTCGAGATATATTATCAACTGAATTTCCTGTTGATGCTTGATCATTAGTGAAATAACTATAATTTAGTTCTTTGCAGCTCAGCACGTAAAATGGCTTGGCATTAACATCATCTGGCATTCTATACTTAAATCCTTCGAAATTTGTTCCAATGTATTTGTTATTTGCTAATTTGAAAACCAAATCTTTGTCTTTTAGCCGAGATGCTTGATTTTGAATTTGAATGGTCTTGAATCAGTTTTCTCATTTCGAATTTATCAATATTCTTTTTCATCTTTATATATTTTTCGAGGTCATTTGTGCAAAGTTCCATTAGCATGTAACAATTGTCTTTATACGTGAAATATTTATATAAACGAATAATCTTAGGATCATCTAATGCAATTAGACAGTCGAGTTCGGATTGACTAAACGCTATCATTGGAATAAACTTTAAAGCGAATGTTGATTTGTAGTTAACATGGTATACACTATAGATTGTTCCAAATCCACCTTTTGCAATAACATTGTTGAATACAATACCTTGCTGTTGAAGAAATTCAAGTTCGCCTTTTTCCATTCTGATTCTTTTGAATAGTTTACATATCGAATATTATTATGGGCCTATAAAATCGGATAATTTTCATTGCAAACATATTCCTGGATATAACAGTATTTTTATTGAATTTATTGAAAAAAATTCGCACAGAATTGAATTAAGATTAGATAGATATATTTATTACTCTTATAATAAGAATTAAAATTAGATAACTTTTAAATCGCGAAATATATCAATTGAAATCCCAAATTCTTCAATTAAATATAGCACGCATTTTCCCAGAAATAAGTTCAAAGTGGTTATTTTATTTTTAATTACCCTTTCAAAATTTGAAATGATACTTTTGAAAATTGTTTGAATTTCAATAAAATATATACTAAATCATGAAGTTAATCATGATTTTGGGAGAATTTCAGTGTTCGGTAACTGTGAAAAGTGACACGAACATTTATTAATAATTTCAAATTAGAGTAGCCACTATATGTGCAATTGATTTTTCTGAACATTATTTTGAATAGTTTTCAATTAATTTCATACACTCTCTGAAAATTTATATAACGCTGACTTTCAAATATTTATCGATAAATGAAATTAGAAACATAAATACAAACTTTTTATTCGCAAAAATTTCCGAAAATCTACATTTTTTTTCTGAGTTCTTTCATATCTTTTTGGACATGAATTTAATTTAAAGGGTTCAGTTGATGAATGTTTCCTATCAGAATTAATTCAGTTTCAAAATATTTCAGATCGATAAGTAATTGCCTATCACGAAGATTTCATAAGGTTTTGCCAAGAGTATGCTTATAATCAATCTTCAACCAATCATTCAGTAGCTACAAAATGAATATAAAATATTTATGTTTCAAGATTCAAACCCTTCTTTTTCATTATAGATCATACTTATTTTCTATTCAACCAACACACCATTAAGCTTCCATCTGAATGTTTTTGTCACTTTGATTAGTTATTTTTTTTAATTGGATATTTGTGCTTATATTTTCTTTTTTGCCACATCTACCCCAAAAAACGTTAAAGTCTTGATTCACTAGCTTCAATATTTTAATTCGATCTTCTAAATTTGTTTCTGTTTTTTTTCTAGTTTTTGTGTTGCAATATAATAATGTACTAATAGATTATTCCACTCATTTTAGGGACATGATCCATAAAATGTATCATATATAAGTTTTTATTGCCAATTTGTTTTGTAAGACTTGAAAAGTTAATTGTTTTAAAGTACTTAATTAACGTTCAGCCATAACTTTCTTATTTGGCGTAAACATGCGTTTGTTAATAATCAAACAATATTCAAAGCAAGAATGATTAATATTGAGCATTTCAGAGAATTTGATTTAAAAATAATACAATATAACACTAATTAACTAATGTTCCCTCGATAAATATCTTAATTGATTCAATTTCAACAAAAATCGGTCTTTCATTATTCAAAACTCAACGTATTTCTCAAATAAACTTTCATACTTTTCTTTTAATAATATGAATGAAACAATTTTTACGGCAAACTTAATTTGTGAGTCGTTCAAAAATCTTTTCGAATTCTCATTTCTTGAATAATGGATTATTTGGTTCTTAAAGTTTATAAATATTGATAATTAATATAAACTAATGCTTTTCCCTCGATAGTGTATCAAATTATTCAAAACCCAACGTATTCACATTTGAAATCTCTAAAATTTTTGATTATAATGTAATAAAAATAAAGGAAAATACGTTCAATCAGGAAAAATACCACAAGCTTCATATATTTAATAATTGCTACACTTTTGGAAATTTTTCATTCTTTTTATCGATTGTTTTACTTAAAGGACCATATTTATTAATACAGTTTCAAATTTCTTTCGCTTCTTTTGTATGCATAAAATATCAAAGCTTTACCTGTATTTTTTTGCACTGAATTTTTTTCTCATTGAAAAATTAAAAAGAATAAAAAAGAAATATAATATGGATATAATTGATATTTCTCAGATATTTTATTGTCAGGTTTAATTTTTCAGAGCCACCCATTGAAAAGATTTTTTACTATTATCAAAATTTGAATGAAATATTTTTCTTAATTGAATTTTTCTGAACAATTTAATTAACTGCGGGTCATTAAATATGTTTGATAAATGTTGTTCCCCAATGGTAAAACAAAAGTTCCTGAAATCCTATAGGTTTCTTCAATTTTTCTTTGAAAAAATAAATATTTTTTTTGAGAAATTTATTGTTTCACATTGAAATATTTGACAATTTCATTTTAACATAAGTATGCAATACATCAACGAAGTCATCTCTACCAGAAGGATGAGGAAGTTCAAGAGCCACACTCCTCAAAACATCATTGATCAAAAAAAATTCTTGAAAGAATTCAAGCAACAAGAGTCAGAATGGATTATGTTGATGCTTATATAGAACGCCAGCTAAATTGTTATATAACATTTAAGACTATGTTGTGTTTCTGCAGAAGAATTGCCAGAGAGTTGGGTTTAAAAGTTGATCGACTTGCAAAAAGAAATAGAAATGCACTTTTATGCTGGATGGCAGAAAACTGGGAGCTTATTGAACCGAGGATTGGAGATATACTCCTGTTGCTTGATAAGAGTAACGACGAATATTCAGCCAACAACCAGGATGATGAAATCGAATATGATTCATCCCCAGAAATTAAAGATGAGGAGCCATCTCCTATAGAAACTAAGAAGGTAATAATTCCTCGTATAGATGAATTTATTTATTCAGTGGGTCCTACAGCAGGTTTTATTTGAGAGAGGGTCAAAGTTGCTATTTGTCACTTTTCCACAAGAATATAATGGGGAAAAAGTTATCATATAGTTGATCTCATTCACTGAGGTGAGAGATGCATGTAGTGTAATGGGATAAACAGTTGGATTGCTGCTCTAAGTCCTAGGTTCGAGACACATTGGCTTCATTTTTCTCTTTTTTATTGACGTAAACTATTCAATTTTTGTGTTCTCCATTCAAATTTCAGAATTTTTTTTGCAGATTTCACGCTACATTCGAAGTTACCTTTTGTAACAACCACCACTGCCTACGAAAGACGAAAGTGTGTCACGATTTCACCCGGAAATCCGACGGTTGTTTAAGAGTATGCACTTTTGTCACCTACTCGGTTTTATTTTAGCAGATCTTTTGAATCCGGATCCTTCAGATATTTTACAACTTCTTAATTTTCATTAATCTATTAATTGTTATATTTGTGTTTTATGCAATTTTTAGTTATTAATTAAAATTCTTCTCAAAAGAATCAAAATTATTTTTCTGAGAGCATATTATCATTTGTAAATCACCATTCTGCTCAATTTAAAAGCCAGTGAAAGCTAAATTTATTAGATTTATCCCAATTAATCAAAGAATTTCAATGAACCTCATTAGATTATGTCGATAAACTTAAAACTGCGGTATTTTAGTAATGAAATAATGAAGGAAATTAGGTTCCTTGATGATTTATAGAAAATAAATGAGATTTTATGAATGTTAAATTTATTAGTGGCGTTGATTCAAAACTAAAGGTAAATTTATAATAATTATGCTCTAAAACTACGAAAAATATCAGTAAAATAAGGAATTATTAAACATTTTTATACAAAACAAAATAAGACACAAAAATAAAAGATTTATTTCTTTCCATGGTTAAAAATTTTTGTCCTTATCGCTTTAATAGCGTTCTTTCCAAATTTTCCTTGCATTGATTGGGTAATTTTGTCAATTTCGATGTAAGGAAGGAGTCTATTAATTATTAACATGATCTTATCGGGTCCTGCATTGCATCCGATCTCTTTTCCTCGAACATCAAAATAATTGAAAAGATAATTCGGATCAAATTCGGATTTGACGTCTTCACAGACTTTAAACAGGATTTGTATCGCTGGTTGAACAACTTGTTTCGATTCATAACGCCTTGTCAAATATAATAATTCAATAATTTCCTTTGCATCGATTTCATGGCTTTCGTAAGCGCTAGTGTATGAATATATCAAAAGGGCAACATGGTTCTCATTAATTACAAGCTCATCAAAAAGTTTTTCTAATTTCATCAAATATTCTCTCGAATATCTAACAAAAGTGAGAGATTCTACGTTATTATTAATAACAGCTGCATTATATATAAGTTCTGTGTCTTTTTCTTTGATAAAAAGCTTTTTGACATCAAAATTATTTTCATTGAAAATTGTAACATGAATTGGGATTTCTAGATCACTGTTATTTGTTATATTAGATCCATCATATACTAATGTTGGTATTCCACTGTATTTCAACCATTTTTGGATGAAATTTTCATCTAATTTCATAAATTTTGCAAATTTTTCTAAATTTACATCGGCCAAATATAAATTTTTGATCAGTTCACAAATGTTTTTCCTAAAATTTTCTTCTCCAAACCATTGAAACAAAGTGTGGAACAAACAAGAAGCTTTTGTATATGATGTATCAGTGTTGAAGTAATCCTGGACAGTCATGTTACAATAGAGAATTGGTCTCTTGACGTTCATCTTCAAAGTTGGAAGAAATTCTCTTATTATATAATTATTTGCTTTATCTAATGAAGGAAATGTCTTGGAAAGCACATAACGGGTCATAAATGTCGTAAATCCTTCTTTGATCCATACAGATTCCCAATCAGAAATTGAAACAATGCAAGATATCCAGTGATGAACGATTTCGTGGACAAAAACAGAAAAAGCATCGTTTATTGTTGCTTCGCGTGCCTTCTTCATGTTAGTTAATGATGAATTTGGCCCGTAAATAATTAATCCGAAATTTTCCATTCCTGTTTGCTCTCTACAGATCAAAAACTGTAGAACTTCAAGTGGTAGAGGTGTTTCAGTGTAATTCTCGAGATAATCAATGATTATTGGGATATTTTCTGTAATGGAATTTGCATATTCAGTCATTTCTGGTATTGAATAGATTTTGATGGGTAAACCACGCTTTGTAACTGTTTCAACGCAATCAAATTTGCCAATACAAAAGGCAAATAGATATAGAGGAATTGGAAGAGTTTCTTTGAAGATTGTAGTAGTAATTCCATCTTTTTCTGTAATGTATTCCGGTAAACAATTAGATAATGCTACATGTTCTTTGTCATGATGAATGGTCAGTGAAATTTTTACTCGATTTTCAGGATTGTCAAAGCATGGAAAGATGCAAGAAGCAAAATCAGCTTCACATTGAGTAATAACACAATTGTCTTTAACTATTATTCCATGATCTCCTGAATTGAACGTTCCAGAAAAATTAAAACAAAATTTTTGAGGAATTATTGAACAACATGTAGTAATTATAGATTCTGAACGCTCAAAAACTACCTTTTCGTCATTAATGTAAACGTTTTGTATATCAAGATTTGGTTTTGCATCAAAATTTACGATTTCTTTTTCTTTAAATCCTTCAACAATGATCTGTACTGATCCAGAGAATGATTTAAACTCTTTGTCAAATGTCAAATCAAGGATGTACCTCAGTGGTCTTCCATTCATTTTATGAATTATGTCTTCTGATCAATTTATTCAATACATTATTCATTGAAAAGTCCTAAAATTTTTTGTGTGATAAAAATTCCACAAATTAACATCAAAATTTTTTGAAAATTAATCAATGATAATTCTGCCACTCGGTGTAATGATAAAATTTACTATTGTTTTAACTTCCTATGACCTAATATTAACTGTTCATTCATGAAAATAGTCCAAAGCACGTAAAGTATCCGATTTTACATTCGGATCATGCATTCAATAATATTGTAATGCGGAAACTACTGAGCAGGTTTTATTACGGGCAGAATTGCATTAAATTTAGATTGGAACGATTTTTATGACGGAGATGGCTCTGCTTCTAATAAGACAGGGACATTTGCTGGAGGGAATAATTATTATTTTAAAGATTGTGAGGTTATTGATTCAAATTCAGGTGCAATTTACATATCATCAAGCTCTCATTATACAAAAGTACTAGCAGAGAGCTCTGTTTTTGTAAATTGTTACAAAAAAGATTCTTCAAATTTTTTCCAAAGCGATGGGCAATGTGTACAGTCAAAAATTTGTTCCAAAAATGCATCATATAATAATAGTTATGGATGCCATTGCTACATTATTGCGTCAAATAGAGAAAATTATAAAAATTATCTTAATGATTCAACAATTTGTGACATAAATGCAGGAAAACAGACTAGTTCAATTTACAATAAGCAAGGAAATATACTTATCAATTCAATTAATTTTACGAATTGTATTTCTCATATTCCTTCTTATTTTATTGTCAAAGGTATTACTTGTAGTAATGTTTCGTTCTGCTCCATGATTAATGACACAAGTCCAACTTATACAATTTCTCTTCATCAAGGTGGCAAAAACTCTGTTTTTAGGTGTAATTACATGCTTAACAATGCTTCATTCATTATAATGACCCAAGATGAAGGAGCTACAACCAGAATTGAAGAATGTATTATAATTAATAATATTATTAGATCTTCTGTATTCACTAATTGGTATCAAAATGCTAATACAATTGTTCATTGTTTTTGTGATGAAGAACGCCTTGGAACTGGTGATTTTTCAGAAATGAAAACCGAAAAATTTGAAAATCCATTGACCCATTTTAATACTCATCAATGTGAGGTAATGCCATTTAGTTCGTTAAATGAAAATGATGAAGTATATCATAATCCTAAATTTTTGGAAGTTACTTTTCCCTCATTATTCTCATAGTAAATATATGACTTTATGACACATATAATACTAGCAATTTTTGCTTAATTTTTATACGATTCAAAAAGATTTGATCTAATTTTCATCTAAACCATTGATATTTTGGGCAATATCAATTTGAAATAGAGACAACGGCAAAATGGTATAAAAATAGTTCGAAAATTATTTTCAAACTTTTTTTGACACTTTTTCCGGATTGACTTTCTAATTTATAACTCTTTCTGATGACAATTTTTATTATTCAACTTATAAAGATGGATATATCATTGGAAATCAAACCAACATTACTTTAAATGGTTTAAAAAACATAAATCTTGTAGATTGTGTCATTCCATCTTTTTTTCAAGGAAAAATTGTACATGGATTTGGATATAGATGCTTTTATGGAGCACCAAGTATCACACGCGTATTTATTCCAAAAACAGTAACATATTTCAGTGGAGATACTTTTGTTTGGTGCAAAAAATTAGAAGAGATCGAATTTGAAGATGGTTTTCAAGATGTCTATCTAGGTCATTATACACTGTTAGGTACAGCCATAAAATCATTTAGATTTCCATTAGGTTCAACACTTGAGAATAATTTCTTTTCATATTCACAAATCAAAAACATTTATATCTATGATATGACATCATCCAGATTGGATAATTTATTTTTACAATGCCCCAAGAAATTAACATATATGTTCCAGTAAATTATCCTTTTAACACATTTGGAGATCGCCCAGTCAAGAAAGTATTACCATTCTACTCAAAACAAAAATCCTCATGTTTAGCTACAGTATATTGCCGAATGATTTCTTCAATTTATTTCATTCAATTTGTAATTTATTAATAAATCCTAAAGAATAAAAAGTTTTTGTTTATATGATTTACACAAGTTAACAAAACATAGTGTATTCTTATCAATATAATATTTTTGTCAGATTCGAATTCAATTTATTAGAAAAAATAGCCATTTTTAGAATACACATTACCACATCTCTTGATAATTTGGATATGAGTTGTATATTAGCTCCTCTTTGCCCAAAAATCTTAAATTTTTCAAAGAAACCGTTTATGCTAGCATTTTTTTATGATTGCGTTTTCATAAATCAACAATGTTTATTATTATTTATTAAACACCACTGGAGCAGCCATTAGCAATGTACGCAAGATCAAAAATTCTTATATTTTTGAATTTCCTTGCAAATCTAGTCATCTATGTGAACCATACTCAATTATACTTAGAAAGGGCCAATATAAGATCGAGTTATGGGGTGCATCAGGCGGTGATGCTAGAGAAGAAAATGAAATCCCGATTCGTCCAGATTCAGGAGGACATGGTTCCTATGTGTCAGGTGACATTGTGATTCAGAATGATACAAATATCTTCCTATATCTTGGTGGCAAAGGCCAAAATCAAGAAGTTTATACTAAAACACAAAATCCTGCACTGGGCGGTTGGAATTTTGGCGGTAATGGGGGAGTAGAAACTAACCCTGAAGAAGCAGGGCCGCCAGAGAATGGAGCTGGAGGAGGAGGTGCTATTGACATTCGTCTTCAATATGCTGACATCAATAACAAAAATCTTGCTCCAAGTATATGGAAAAAATCTATTGAGAGCAGAATAATCGTTGCGGGTTCTGGGGGTGGTGCTGCATCAGCAAAGACGTATTCCTATGGATCTGCTGATGGATATCCAGGTGGAACTATTTAGGCAGCATCAAACAAGCCATATACAAATGGCGGAACCCAAAAACTTGGTACACTTGGAAAAGGCTTAGATGGGATATCAACAAATGAAAACAATGCCGGCGGTTCAGGGGGAAACGGGAGCGGTTATCGAGGCGGCTACAACAGTTTTCCTAAAGACACTAATATGGGCTATCTTCATATTGGCGGCTCTGGAGGTAGTTCTTATATTAGTGGCCATTTTGGCTGCATAAGCCCAAATTTTGAAGCTGATTCTCAACCAACTTTGGCTCATTCTATACATGAGTCAGGATTTTATTTCACCCACACCGAGATGAAGAGCGGTAATGAGAGCATGCCAAATCCATTTAGTGAATCTTTGATGAAAGGAAATATCGGGAATGGAGTTTGTCGTATTACTCTTCTTTCTATCTTCAAAATATCATGCTTTATCAGTCCAAACTTCAATTACTTCTTTCCCTTTATCTTTTTAACTTTGATATCCAAATAAAATAAATTTTCATTCAAATCCGAAAACATATATGCCTATCTTGGAGGTCATAGGGACGATCAATCTGCCATGTCTCAGATTCCAGCATTTTTATTTGCTCGAATTTGACTTATCTTAGCAAATAGAATTGGAATTTATTTGCTAATAAATAATGATCATATGTTTTTCTCACTTTGAGTTTCACATCATGCCACAGTTTTTATGCATTAATTTAACAAAATTTAATTTCAGAAATAAATAGTTCGTAATATTGAATATTCTTTACTAGGAACAACAGGTGATGCAGATATTAATGTCAATGATTCCAAAGATTCCGTTTTATTCAAATATCCATGCAAATCAAATTACAAATGTGAGCCATACGTTCTTAGATTTGGCATTGGATTCTATAAAATTGAACTATGGGGATCTTCCGGTGGTAATGCTCGAGAGGTAAATCTGCCAAATTTGAGACCTGATTCAGGCGGGCATGGGTCATATGTTTCAGGAAACATTGCTATAAATCAACCAATTACTATGTATCTATATCTTGGCGGTAAAGGTCAAGATCAAGATAAAACAATTCCAAACCAAACGCCTACACAAGGTGGTTGGAATTTTGGCGGAAATGGTGGCGTTGAATACACCTCAGAAACTGGCTTCGCAGAGAATGGAGCAGGTGGAGGAGGGGCTGTCGACATTCGCTTAGAATACATAGATATTAATAAAGACAAACCGGATCAAAATATTCTGAAGAAGTCAATTGAGAGTCGAATAATTGTCGCAGGTTCAGGAGGTGGTGCTTCTTCAGGTGAAGAATTTCCTTTGGGCAAAATTGATGGTTTTCCTGGTGGAAATATTTCTGCAATATCAAATGGAATCTATGTACTCGGAGGAAGCCAAACATCAGGTACACTTGGTATCGGACACAATGGAAGATCCTCTTCTAAAAATGAAGGAGCTTCTGGTGGTTGCGGCAGTGGCTACCGAGGTGGAATTAATAAACTTCCTTCATCTTCTAATGAAGGATATTTCCAAATTGGAGGCACAGGAGGAAGTTCATATGTCAGTGGCCATTTTGGATGTATCAGTCCAAGTCATCAAAATGATATAGTTGCAAATAATCAGAACTCCATTCATGAGTCAGGTTATAAATTCATCAATACAAAAATGATCAGCGGGCAAGAAAAAATGCCAAGTCCATTTAATGATTCATTCATTTTTGGTAATATTGGTAACGGCATTGGACGAATAACCTTTCTTTATGCATATATTCAAACGTGTGTTATCTTCAAAAGTAATTATTATTTATACATGTTTTTATTCACTGCTATAAGTACCACATAGATATCTATTGATAACTAGATTAATGACATAGAAATTCTTCTAATCCACGTTTATTTTGCCTATATTAAATGATTTTCTTTTTCTGTTATGATTTCTAAATAGTTTTTAATAAGTTCTCTTTCAAATTCATCTCATCAAATAACTATCCGATCAATTTTTATCTATTTATTTTCAAGGATTTATCATTGAAAATTAGAATGATTTTTTATAAAAGCATAAAAAATAAAGTATTCAATTTTTTTTGAAAGAAACCTTAAAATATATGACCCGCCTTTTGATGATAGGCAGGGTTTAGAATTATCAAATATCAATACAATCACATATTATATCAATGAGTCAACCGCACAAGCCATCTCAAATGTAGTTACAAATAAAGACACATACTTATTTGAATATCCCTGTCAATCTTTTAATATTTGCTCTCCATATGTCATTGAATTCCAACCAGGAACATATCAAATTGAACTTTGGGGCTCATCAGGAGGGAATGGACGATACCTAAACAGAAGAGAAGTTCGTCCAGATTCTGGTGGAAATGGATCATACGTTTCAGGAATCCTAAATTTAATACGTAGAAAAACAATGTTCTTATACCTTGGTGGTCGAGGCCAAGATCAAGACGATGCGACAAAATCTCATATTCCAGCATTAGGCGGTTGGAACTTCGGTGGAAAGGGAGGTATTGACTTTAATGATGATGTACATCCTTATGAACCATTAGAAAGTGGTGCTGGTGGTGGAGGTTCTGTTGATCTCCGTTTAATGTATATTGATATAAACGATCAAGATGATTTGAATGAAAGTCTTCTTAATGAATCCCTTGAGAGTCGGATCATGGTAGCGGGATCTGGTGGTGGCGCAGTTTCTGCAGAACCAAATGATTGGGGAATGACTGATGGATTTCCAGGTGGAGGAACTGCTGCAATTTCCAATGGATTATACTCTTTAGGCGGTTCCCAAACTAAAGGAATTTTTGGCAAAGGAATGGACGGAAAGTCTTCTTTTTCTAATCTTGGAGGTTCAGGTGGAAGTGGAAGTGGATATCGTGGAGGATATATCAATTTTCCTTCAACTACACAGGATGGATTTTATTCTATTGGTGGATCTGGTGGAAGTTCATATATAAGTGGTCATTTTGGATGCATCAGTCCATATTTTAAGAACGATTCAGAACCAACACCACTTAATTCATTCCATGAATCAGGGTTGTTCTTTACAAATACCATCATGAAGAGTGGTAATGAAGAAATGCCAAGTCCATACAATTCCAGTGTTATCAGAGGTCATATTGGCCATGGCATCTGCCGTATTACTATTCTTCGTCCAACATTTTGTCCCTCGAATACATTTTGTTTTTCTATTCCTCTTTCCATTTTATTTGTATCACTCGGTTTTTCAATAAAATAAAATCTTAATTTAAATTATATCACCAAATCTAAAAGTAAAACATTTTCCTGATGATAGTTTACCAATTCACTTGAAATAACTTTTCCTCTGAGATCAATAATCTGAAACATTATGGAAATTCGTTTTTAATTTCAAGAGATTGTATTTTCTCCATTAAACAGATTTATCATTACTATAGATTTGAAATCGGCTTATTTATATATAAATTTATAGTGATAATTTATTGAGACATCAAGTGTACTCTTATTTTTTTCGCAAATTAATTAAAGATATAAATAGTTCGTCATTTTGAATATTCTTTACTAGGAACAACAGGTAATGCAGATATTAATGTCAATGATTCCGGAGATTCCATTTTATTCAAATATCCATGTAATTCAAATTACATATGTGAACCATATGTTCTTAGATTTGGCATTGGATTCTACAAAATTGAACTATGGGGAGCTTCTGGAGGTAATGCACGAGTAGAAAATACTCCAGATATTCGTCCTGATTCAGGAGGTCATGGATCATATGTCTCAGGGAACATTGCAATAAAACATCCCACTACTTTGTATCTTTTTCTTGGTGGTAAAGGCCAAGACCAAGATATAACAATTCTAAATGAAACACCAGCTTTAGGCGGTTGGAATTATGGTGGGAATGGCGGCGTCGATAATCATCCCTCAGAATATGGACCCCAAGAGAATGGGGCTGGTGGAGGAGGTGCTGTTGACATTCGCTTAGAATACATAGATATTAATAAAGACAATCCGGATCAAAACGTTCTGAAAAAGTCAATTGAAAGTCGAATAATTGTCGCAGGTTCAGGAGGTGGTGCTTCTTCTGGTGGTACACATCCTTTGGGTAAAATTGATGGTTTTCCTGGTGGCAATATTTCTGCAATATCGAATGGAGCATATGTACTCGGAGGAAGCCAAACATCAGGTACACTTGGTATCGGACACAATGGAAGATCCTCTTCTAAAAATGAAGGAGCTTCTGGTGGTTGCGGCAGTGGCTACCGAGGTGGAATTAATAAACTTCCTTCATCTTCTAATGAAGGATATTTCCAAATTGGAGGCACAGGAGGAAGTTCATATGTCAGTGGCCATTTTGGATGTATCAGTCCAAGTCATCAAAATGATATAGTTGCAAATAATCAGAACTCCATTCATGAGTCAGGTTATAAATTCATCAATACAAAAATGATCAGCGGTAATGAGAAAATGCCAAGTCCATATAATGATTCATTCATTATTGGTAATATTGGTAACGGCATTGGACGAATAACAGTTCTTTTTGCTTATATTCAAACATGTGTTGTCTACAAAAATCATTATTATTTATTCATGTTTTTATTCACTGCTATAAATACCTCATAGATATCTCTTAATAATCTAATTTTTTACTGCATGAAGGTTTTGGTGGAAGTTGGATTTGTAACAGAGGTGGATATAGTGAATTACTACTAAATCTGCAAAGCGGGAATCAAACTGCTTGAGAATTAGGCAATGAATATTGAGGCGGATGTAATGAATTTCCTTCATCTTCAAATCCAGGATATTTCCAAATTGGAGGTACTGGGAGAAGTTCAATTATCAGTGGTCATTTAGGATGCATTAGTCCAAGTCATAAAGATAATTCTATTCATGAATCAGGATTATTTTTTCGAGACACTAAAATGATTAGTGGTAACGATAGCATGCCAAATCCATTGGATGATTCATATATGATTGGCAACATAAGTAATGGAATTTGCTTATATTAAGACATGCCATATTAATTATAATGGTATTTTAATATTTCCTTTCTTTATTAATGGTTTTATTTTTATATAAAAATTTTATAAAATTATATAAAATGAACAGATTGTGTTAATGTTTGTGGAGGTAAGTTTCATTGCGAATCGTCCAACAGCTGCTGACATAAAACTAAACAATTTAGAATTTATGTTTCATAGATTTATGCAATTTTATAAAATTATAACCTTAAAAGTTTTGATCCTGAAGCGTCAATGAATAGTTGGTATTAATTCTTTATATTATTATCTCAATGATGAAACAGGTCAAGCAACTAAAAATGTCATCAATTCCAAAGATACATACCTTTTCCAGTACCCGTGCAAAAAATTAAATCTTTGTGAACCATATGTTATAGAATTTTCCCGTGGCACTTATCATATTGAGCTATGGGGTTCATCAGGCGGATTTGGACGAAAATTAAATGAAGCTGAATTTCAGCCAGATTCAGGCGGTCGTGGCTCATATGTCTCTGGAATTATTAATCTTACGCAATCTAAAACCATGTATCTCTATCTTGGAGGTCATGGTGAAGATCAATCCGACATGTCTCACTCCCATATTCCAGCATCAGGCGGTTGGAATTTTGGCGGTAACGGAGGAATTGATTACAACGATGATGAAGGTATTTATTATCCCTTAGAAAACGGTGCTGGTGGAGGAGGTGCAGTTGATCTTCGTCTTGAATATTATGATATTAATAAAGATGATATCAACCAAGATGAAAATGAACAAAATCTTTTAAACAAATCTCTTGAGAGTCGTATAATCGTCGCCGGATCAGGAGGTGGTGGTTGCTCAGCAAATGATCAAACATGGGGATATGCCAAAGGATATCCAGGCGGAAATACCTCTGCTATTTCAAATGGACCTTATGTTTTTGGTGGAAGCCAAATACAAGGATTTTTTGGAATTGGAATGAGCGGAATTTCTGGCTACGAAAATCAAGCAGGTTCAGGTGGGTGTGGAAGTGGATATCGTGGAGGATATATCAATTTTCCTTCAACTACACAGGATGGATTTTACCATATTGGCGGATCTGGAGGAAGTTCATATATAAGTGGTCATTTTGGATGCATCAGTCCATATTTTAAGAACGATTCAGAACCAACACCACTTAATTCATTCCATGAATCAGGGTTGTTCTTTACAAATACCATCATGAAGAGTGGTAATGAAGAAATGCCAAGTCCATACAATTCCAGTGTTATCAGAGGTCATATTGGCCATGGCATCTGCCGTATTACTATTCTTCGTCCAACATTTTGTCCCTCGAATACATTTTGTTTTTCTATTCCTCTTTCCATTTTATTTGTATCACTCGGTTTTTCAATAAAATAAAATCTTTATTTAAATTATATCACCAAATCTAAAAATAAAAACATTTTCCTGATGATGGTTTACCAATTCACTTGAGATAACTTTACCTCTGAGCTCAATAATCTCAAATGTTATGGAAATTTATAATGGAAATTGTAAGAATGCCAGCTATGGATTTGTAATTATTGGTTTATTGAGAGAATACAACAAGTATACTCTTTATTTTTCTCAAATCCATTAAAGTGATCACATACTAAACATTTTGAGCTCAGAGGCGCGAAAAAGCGAATAAATTAAAACCTTAAACAGAAAATTTGAGAATGCGTCAGAAAATGATATGAATTAAATAACTCGTCATTTTGAATATTCTTTACTAGGAACAACAGGTAATGCAGATATTAATGTCAATGATTCCGGAGATTCCATTTTATTCAAATATCCATGTAATTCAAATTACATATGTGAACCATATGTTCTTAGATTTGGCATTGGATTCTACAAAATTGAACTATGGGGAGCTTCTGGAGGTAATGCTAGAGAGATAAATAAACCTAGTTTGCGACCCGATTCAGGAGGTCATGGGTCATATGTTTGTGGGAATATTTTAATCAAACATCCCACTACTTTGTATCTTTATCTTGGTGGTAAAGGCCAAGACCAAGATAAAACAATTCCAAATGAAACACCTGCACAAGGTGGTTGGAATTTTGGCGGAAATGGCGGTGTCGAAAATAATACCAATGAAATTGGACCTCCAGAGAACGGAGCCGGTGGAGGAGGTGCTGTTGACATTCGCTTAGAATACATAGATATGAATAAAGACAATCCGGATCAAAACGTTCTGAAAAAGTCAATTGAAAGTCGAATAATTGTCGCAGGTTCAGGAGGTGGTGCTTCTTCAGGTGATGAACGTCCTTTGGGTAAAATTGATGGTTTTCCTGGTGGCAATATTTCTGCAATATCGAATGGAGCATATGTACTCGGAGGAAACCAAATATCAGGTAAACTTGGTATCGGCGACGATGGAAGTTCATCATCTAATAATGAAGGAGCTTCTGGTGGTTGCGGCAGTGGCTACCGAGGAGGAATTAATAAACTTCCTTCAAATTCAGATTCAGGATATTTCCAAATTGGAGGTACAGGAGGAAGTTCATATATCAGCGGTCATTTTGGATGTATCAGTCCGAATCATCAAAATGATTTAGTTGAAAATAAACAGAATTCTATTCATGAATCAGGTTATATATTCACCGATACTAAGATTATCAATGGGCAAGAAAAAATGCCAAGTCCATATAATGATTCATTCATTATTGGCAATATTGGTAACGGCATTGGACGAATAACCTTTCTTTATGCATATATAAACTCATGTGTTATCTTCAAAAGTAATTATTATTTATTCATGTTTTCATTCACTGCTTTAAATCCCACATAGATATCTTTTGACATTTTTCAACACACACTCGATTTTTTGACCAAATGTTTCAAAACTTGGATTTTTTTGCAGATCTGATATAATATTTTGACTTGGAATAATATGCTCATGTTAGAGAATGAGTAAAAAAAATCGAGAGAATAGCAGAAGTGGCAAGTGTACACCACTTACAACTTTTATGACACTCTATCAAATTTCATGTTTAATATTTTATTTTCGTTGCAGCTTCAAGCATACCGTCCTCTTTTTGAGGGATATCAATATGTATAAAGTGAACCCTTATTTCATTTATGAGATTTCATTAATTTTAAATTCATAAGGATTATAGACAATGAAACATCGTAATTGAATGAATAATTAAGCTGTTTTGTCTTTTCAATATCATTCAAAAATTGTGACATCAAGACAATTTTATTTTTTTATCCTAATTAACATAATAAAAGAAATAAATAGTTCAGAATATTGAATACTCTCTACTAGGAAAAACAGGTAATGCATTCATCAATGTAACTTCCGCCGATGATTCAATCATTTTTAGATATCCATGTAAATCAAATTACATATGTGAACCATACATACTTAAATTTGGAATTGGATACTATAAAATTGAACTTTGGGGATCATTTGGTGGAAATGCGAGAGAAGCAAATCAAGCAAATATGCGACATGATTCAGGCGGCCATGGGTCATATGTTTCAGGGAAAATTGCAATTAAGCATCCTACAACTATGTATCTTTATCTCGGTGGCAAAGGCCAAGATCAAGATAAAACAATTCCAAATGAAACACCTGCACAAGGCGGTTGGAATTTTGGCGGAAACGGTGGCGTTGAATACACCTCAGAAGACGGCTTCACAGAGAATGGAGCTGGAGGAGGAGGTGCTGTAGATATCCGCTTAATATACTTTGATATTAATCAAAACAATCCAGATAAAAATATTCTGAAAAAATCAATTGAGAGTCGAATAATTGTTGCGGGTTCAGGAGGTGGCGCTGTGTCCGGAGAATCATATCCTTGGGGTGATAGTAAAGGTTATCCAGGCGGAAATATTTCCGCAATCACAAATGGACCTTATATCCATGGTGGTAATCAAACTACAGGAGAGTTAGGGATAGGAGACAACGGAACTTCCTCTTCCAATAATGAAGGAGCTTCTGGTGGTTGTGGCAGCGGTTACAGGGGTGGATATAATGAATTGCCTTCAAGATTTCAAACGGGTTATTTCCAAATTGGAGGTACTGGAGGAAGTTCATATATCAGTGGTCATTTAGGATGTATTAGTCCAAGTCATAAAGAAGATAAAGAATCGAATAAATTAAATTCTATTCATGAATCAGGATTATTTTTTCGAGACACTAAAATGATTAGTGGTAACGATAGCATGCCAAATCCATTCGATGACTCATATATGATTGGCAATATTGGTAATGGGATTTGTCGTATAACAGTTCTTTTTGCTTACATAAAGACTTTTCTTTTCTTTGATTGCAATAATTTTATATATTCTCTATTGATTTCTGTTATCATTTCTAAGTAATTGTTAATAAACAATAGTTGTGAATTTGCCATTTTTTTTGAGAAATATTGAATATTTTGTGATAGGAAACCTTAAATTCCGACTCGAACATATTTATGGCAAATATAGTTTAAAACCTAAAAGGAGTTGGTGAATTCTCTTTCTATTTATTAGGAACAACTGATGAGGCAATATCAAATGTTTCCAGGAACAAAGATACATATCTTTTCCAGTATCCTTGCAAATCAAATAATATCTGTGAACCATATGTCTTCCATTTTCCTAAAGGATACTACCAGATTAAACTTTGGGGCTCATCTGGAGGAAATGGAAGAGTTAGAAACGAAGCTACAATTCGAGAAGATTCTGGTGGTCATGGAGCTTATGTGGCTGGAAATATCCAAATAAAAAATACCATCACCATGTTTCTATACCTTGGCGGACGTGGCCAAGATCAGAGCGACACGAGCCACTCTCTAATTCCAGCATCAGGCGGCTGGAATTTTGGAGGTCAAGGCGGGATTGATCTTAATCCTGAAAATGAAACAGGTCCTGGTTCCTCATTGGAAAATGGGGCAGGAGGTGGCGGTGCTGTTGATATTCGCTTGGAATATGCTGATATAAATAATATTGATAGAAATAGTAAAATTTTTAATAAATCGATAATGAGTCGAATAATCGTCGCTGGTTCAGGCGGTGGTGCTTGCTCTGGAAATAATTTTGGATTAGGAATTCCTAAAGGATTTCCCGGTGGTAATTCTTCTGCATTATCCAATGGTCCATATACATTCGGTGGTACTCAAACCGATGGCAAATTGGGCATTGGAATGGACGGAATCTCCGGACATAATAATGAAGGAGGTTCCGGAGGTTGTGGAAGCGGTTATCGTGGAGGATTTTCAAAGTTTCCGTTAACTTCAGCACCAGGAACCTTTGAAGTAGGAGGAACTGGAGGAAGTTCTTATATTAAAACAAGAGAAGAGACTAACCAGTTCATGATAGACCATCCAGATTTATTTTTCTCAAATAATATTATTATTAGTGGGAAAGATAATATGCCAAGTCCGTACAATAATTCATATATCACTGGACATGTTGGCCATGGAGTCTGTCGTATTACAGTTCTAAATTTGATAATTCGATGTACTTGCATCTGTAGTTCAATAGTAAATTTATCTCTGTTATTTGTTTCATCAGGACTATCATAAATAACATTCAAATTCATACTATTTTTTATACCTTTAAATGAACACTAAGGCCCATCTGAATTTAATTCAAATTTCGGAGAACTGAGGTGATGCGCCATTGAAAATTTAAACTTCTGAATTGATTGTCATGTCATTTTGGCGGCAGTATATAGATTTTTTATGATGCACTTGCACTAAAATGATACGGTCTTAAACTATTAATTTAATGTTAATTTTCGAAGATATTTCATGCTAGTGGAAAGAATTTTGAAGTAAATTAAGATGTGAATAACTTATTTAAATTCTTCGTCGATAATTTAAGGAATAGAAGATGTTTATTGGACCAGATAATTTTGAGATTTGACTGATAAACATTATAAATATATCGGAAATAATTTTTATACAAAAAGTATTTATTTAATGCAAAATAGAGATATAAAAGATACTTTGGCACCAATATTCTGTTTGACATATTTGATGGTCATACCTAAGACAATATTAGAACAATTCAAACAGTCTATTGGAATTCCAGAATCAAAAAGCATTTTAATATATGATTCGTTTCGATTTTCAACATATAAACATCCTTTAAGTGCATTGCAATCTAGAAAAGAAAACTCCGAAACATATGAAACCCAAATCGGAAAGTTTATTTTTTGGAGTTTTGTACAATTAAAGAAAGCATATCTTTTAATCAATTGTACTGAATTTTGAAATATATAAACCTCTTGTAGATAAAATGAATTCACGAATGATGCTTCTCCAATAATAGTACTATTTACTTCAAAAATGGTTTCTTCTGACATTGGTGAATGAAACAGTATTGTTTCTTCATTATTCTTTATTTCATATACTGTATCTTTTACACATTTATAGTTTTCTGATTTAAACTCTGATATAAATTTCAAATTTGGACAACAAGAAAATGCTTGATCCCCAATCATTGAAAGTTCTGATTCATCTTCAAAGTAAATTGCTATTAAATCTGAACAATTATAAAATGCTTTGTTATTTATTGTCTGAATGTAATCTGATATATAGCAATATTTGATGGATAAATTTGCAAATGCTTTTGCTGCAATTTCTTCGCAACCCCTAATAGATAATACTTGGTCTGTTCCCAAATACTCATAAATTATAGTTTGTTCTGGATTTAACACGAAAAATGAACTATCCAAATATAAGTTATCTTGCCCCATATAAGTTAGATCTGAACCAGAATAATAATAATAATAGTTGTAATAATTATAAAAATACAGATTTTCGAATTTGCATTTGTTTTTTATATTGAGCTTAATATTTTGATTCAACTTAGAAATATAAATTACTTCTGATTCAATATTATCGAAAATCAATGTTACAACTTTGGGAAGATTTAACAGAGGATAATAGCAAAAAATAGTTTTGAAGTTATTAATCGTTATTAATATATCAGTTATATTAGAGTAATATGGAAATATAGTATTATCAATTCCAATAAATTCATCAATAATCATTTCATTAATAACACAGTTTGAGAATGCTTCATTATGTATTTTCATGAAATTTGTTGATATCCTTAAAAATTGTATTATTGAACAATTAAAACTATTGTAATATAAAATTGGGGCATTAGTTCCTTTTTCAAATATAACATTTTTTTTTAAGTTTGAAATGTTTGCAAATGAAATTTTATCGATTATAAATGTTTTTGATGGAAAATGAATTGAAGAAATATTTGTATTATAAAAAGCTTTCTCTCCTATCTGTTCTAATTCACTATTTTCATCAAATAGTAAATGCGTTAACTTTATGCAATTACTAAATGCAGAAGAAGAAATCTTTTTAACTGAACTAGGAATTATTATTTCTTCTATTTGTGTATTATTAAAAGCTGCTATACCAATGACTTGAAGTATCGAATATTTAGAAAATACAACGCTTTCCAAATTATTTGAATCTGAAAAAATATAACTAGGGATTATAACATTCGAGGGAACAATAACTTCACTATAATTTTTATTATAAAAATCAATATTTGTTACATGACTGGTATTAGATATATGAATTAAAGTTGAAGAATCAAATGCATTTTTATCAATGAATGTAACATAATCTGGAATTGTTATTACAGATATATTTGTATTGTGAAATGTATTGAACTCGATCCTTTTAATATTTGAATGACTAAGAAATGAAAAATTTTGAAGATTATCGCAGTTGGCAAAAGCATTTGATTCTATGATGGAGAGATTTGAAAAATCAAGAATTTCAACATTTTTAAGATTATGACACTTGGAGAATGCATATGATTTGATAGCTTGCACATTAGGAGGTATTGTTAAATTTGCCATTTTGCATCCATAATACGAATATTCTTCAATTATTTCTACACTTTCATTTATTAAAATATCTTCTTTATTTGAAGGGAAAAGATATATGACTTTGAAATCTTTGGAATAAATTATAGAATCATTTATGATAAGATTTTCATTACCTTCAGCTATTTTAATGATTATTTCAGATGAAAGACTAAACATGTTTTTTGAAATAAAACTTTGATTTTCTTGTATAATATACTTCTTTATTAATGTTTCATCAAAAACATTTTTGCCTAAGATTTGTAATTTACTATTTGATTTAAATGTACATTTTTTAACGAGCACTTATAAAATGCATTATCTCTAATTATTTCAACTGATGCTGGTATAATTATCGTTTAAATTTTTGAATAAGCAAAAGCATACTTACCAATCTCAATTAATTGGCTATTCTCATAAAAATCCACTTGATTAATTTTACTAGATTCAAAGCAAAAATCACATATTTTTAAAACAGATTTTGGAATTAACAAATAATCAAGTTTTAAATATGGAGGATAACTCCAGTCAAATTCAATCAATTTACTATTTTCTTTAAATGTAATGTTTTTAATTGAGCTATAGTATCCATTCATATATTCAAGTCCAAAAGATATGACTGTTGAAGGTATTTCGATTGATGTTACATTTGTTTTATACAATGAGGATAATGAAAAGTTCATAAGCTGTGAATCAGCTGTAAAAGTGAATTCTGTTAGATGCTGACAAGAGGAGAAAGCGCCACGATGTATATTTGTAATTGAATTTGGTATTATAAATTTGGAAAAATTGCAGGATGCAAATACAAATTCATTTATTTCTGTTATATTTGTTGATTCAATTGATATTTTACTCAAATTTTGACAATAATAAAAACAATATTGCCCGATGTAAGTTAATGTTTTAGGAAATTTAATTAAAACAATGCTTGTCCAAGCAAATGCAAATTCTCCTATTTCTGTTAACATGGAATCATTTGAAAATTCAATGTTACAAAGAGTATGACAATTTGAAAAAGACCAAGTTCCAATTTTTTTAATATTGGAATTTATAAAAAATGATTTCAATTTTGTTTGGTAAAATAAATAATCTGCTATCTCCTCAATTTGGCTTCCATTTTCAAAGGAAATATTTTGAAGATTTGTATTTTCAAAAGCATGAATTCCGATTTTAATAGTTGATGATGGCATTGATATTGATTCTAGTAAAGAAGATGCAAAGGAACTTTTACCAATAGTTTTTACCGTTTTTGGAATAATAATATTTCTTATATTTGTATGTGTAAATGCACCATCTCCAATTTGGATTAATCTTGAATTATTTGAAAAGATGATATTTTCTAGTGGTAAACTAGAAAAAGCTAAATCAGAGATTATTGTCACTGCATCTGGAATATTTATTTCTTTCAATTCTGATTTTGAAAAAGTTTCACTTCCAATAATATTTATATAGCAATCAAATGAAAAGTTAACTTTCCTAATAGCTGATTCACTAAAAATAAAATTTCCCAAAATTCTCAAACATGAATCAAATTTTATAGATGTTATGTTGGTTTTAGAGAAAGCATAGTCATGAATAATAGAAATTTTGCTATTTGGTCTGAATTTTATTTCAATAAGAGATAGACAATCAGAAAATGCGTATTCACCAATTTCGACAACTGTTGAAGGAATTTCTATAGATGTAATATTAGTGTTTGAAAATGTGTAATCAGTAATATTGGTTAAGGAACATTCTTCTTTGAATGTAATTGAATTTAATAGAGTGCATGAATCAAAAGCTCTTTTACCTATAAATTTAATATTTGTTAGAGTTATTGATTGAATGGGTAAATAAGCAAATGCAAAATCATTTATTATTTCTAAATTATTTTCTGATTCAATTAATATAGTTGATATTTTATTGAATCGATATAAAAAGTCTTGCCCAACTCTTTTTAGTGAAGATGGGAGATATATTGATCCTGTCTTATCAATATTTTCGTCATTTTCATCTACTTTGCCATAATATCCGAAAGCATCATCTCCAATTTCTTCTAATTCAATATTTTGCTCAAAAGTAACATTTTTAATTTGGGAATTAGCAAATGCGTACTCTTCAATAATTTTTACGCATTTTGAAATTTTGATGTTTTCAATAATTGAGAATGCGAATGAATATGCGCCAATCTTTTTGATAAAATGAGGTATTTCACAATTTATATTTGAATTCAGAAACATATGTAATGTTTCATTTTTATTTGAATATAAAAAAATATTATCACTTTTATATAAAAAAAAAAAAAAAAAAAAAAAAAGGTAGTGGGGCTTCCAGGGGCTGCGCCCCTTCTAGCCCCGAAGATGTTTAGTATAAATGAAGTTTTTATTCGGAAAATTGTTAGTCTTCTTGGTCGAAAACATTATATAATGTTTCACTTTTCACAAATTATATATGTTTTCATGTTTTGTCAAGACTTCTTCTTCGTAAATGTTTTGTCAAGACTTCTTCGTAAATGTTTTGTCAAGACTTCTTCGTAAATGTTTTGTCAAGACTTCTTCGTAAATGTTTTGTCAAGACTTCTTCATCGTAAATGTTTTGTCAAGACTTCTTCGTAAAGACTTTGTCAAGACTTCTTCGTAAATGAGTGTAAATGACCCAAAAATATAATTTAGGTGAAGAGGTGAGATTTCACCTGTTTTTTCA